AAAAAAAAAAAAAAAAAAAAAAAAAAGATTAAAATTCTAAATAAGCCAATATCAATGAATGAAATTGAAAATGTAATTAAAACCTACCAACAAAGAAAAGCCCAGGCCCTGACAGATTCACTGCTAAATTCTACAAGAAATTTAGAGAAGACCTAATGCTGCTACTTCTCATACCCTTTCATAAAATTGAGAGGGAAGCAATACTCCCAAATTCATTCCTAGAAGGAAGCATTACCCTGATACCAAAGCCAGAGAAGGATCCAACCAAAAATGAGAACTACGGGCCCATCTCCCTAATGAACAGAAATGCAAAGAACCTCAATAGGGTACTGCAAACAGAATACAGCAGATCATGGCTGGGGATGTGGCTCAACAGTAGAGTTCTTGCCTTGCATGTACGAGGCCCTGAGTTCAATACCCGGCACCACACACACAAAGAAGAGTGATCTGTTCAAATACAGTATTCTGGCTCAGTGATAGAGCTCTTACCTTGCAGAATGCAGTAAATCACCAAGAAGATTATACACTATGACCACGCAGAATTCATCCCAAAGACGCAGGGTTGGTACAACATACGGAAATCAGTAAGTGTAATACACCATATCAACAGAGCCAAGGACAAAATCCACATGATCATCTCAATAGATACAGAAAAAGCATGTGACAAAGTCCAACACCCATTCCTGATAAAAACCCTACAGAAAACTGGGATAAAAGGTCTTTATCTCAATCTGATAAAAGGTATCTATGACAAACCAACAGCCAACATTATAATAAACAGACAAAAACTGGAAGCTTGCCGCCGATGTAGCTCATAGGTGCTGCACCTGCCTGGCAAGCACAAGGTCATGAGTTCGATTCCCGACACCAACAAAAAAAAGAAAGAAAAAAAACCCTGAAAGCTTTCACTCTAAAATCAGGAACAAGACAAGGATGTCCACTGCTACCACTCTTATTCAATATAGTTCTGGAAACATTAGCCAGAGCACTTAGACAAGAGACAGAAATAAAAGGAATAAGGATTGGAAAGGAAGGGTGAAATTATCATTATTTGCAGATGACATGACACTCTACGTAGAAGACCCCAAAAGTCCACCAAAAGACTTCTAGATTTAATAACCAAATTCAGTCATATAACTGGATACAAAGTCAACACCCAAAAACCAATAGCCTTTCTGTACACAAATAATGAACTCACTGAGAGAGAAATTAGGGGAAACCATACTTTTCACAATTGCATCCAAAAAAAAAAAAACAAAAATGAAATACCTAGGAATCAATCTGACAAAAGAAGTAAAGACCTTTATGTTGAAAACTATGGTACTCTGCTGGGGATATACCTCAGTGGTTCAAGAGCCTACCTAGCAAAAGCAAGGTCTCGAGTTCGATTCCCAGTACCAAAAAAGAAAAAAAAATAGACTAGCTGGGTGTGGTGGCCCACGCCTGTCATCCCAGCACTCGGGAGGCTGAGGCAGGAGGATCTTTGCGAGTTCGAGACCAGCCTGGGCTACAAAGTGAGCACAAGACCAGCCTGAACTGCATAGTGAGACTCTGTCTCAAAAAAAAAAAAAAAAAAAAGAAAACTATGGTACTCTGAAAACAGAGACTGAAGAGGATATCAGAAAATGGAAAGATGGACAATAGGGGAAGGGAAAAAGAATCAAGATGTATCATGTACAGGTACAAATTCCCTATGATGAATGTGATCATTATGTATACCTAAAATGTGCCAATAAACTTAATTAATTAAAAAAAGGGAATGGAAAGATATCCCCTTTTCTTCATAGGAAGAACCAATACAGCGAAATTGGCCATACTCCCAAAATTGTTATACAGAATTAATGTAATCCTGATCAAAACTCCAATAGCTTGTTTCACAGAATTAGAGAAAATAATCCTAAAATTTACCTGGAACCAGAAGAGAGCTAGAATAGCAAAGGCAATTCTAGGCAACAAAGGCAAGGCAGGGTCATCATAATCCCTGACTTGAAATCATACTACAAAACTATTGTGATGAAAACAGCACGTTTCTGGCAAAAAAAAAAGACAAAAAACAGGCCCAAGGATCAGTGGAACAGATTAGAAGATGCAGAATCAACTCCAAACACACTCAGCCCCCTGATCTTTGACAAAGGGGCCAAACTCATTCACTGGAAGAAAAACAGCCTCTTTAATAAATGGTCCTGAAAAAACTGGCTTTCCACATGCCAAGATTAAAACTAGACTCATATCTTTGACCATGTACTAAACTAAAATCAAAATGGATCAAAGATCTGAATATTAAAACAAAAACACTAGATCTTCTGGAAGATAGAATAGGTAGAACTCTTGAAGACACTGGTGTAAGCAAAGACTTTAAGAACAAAAGCCCAACTGCGCAGGAACTATCACAAAGAATCAACAACTGAGATCTCATCTTATTAAAAAGCTTTGCTTAGCAAAAGAAACCACCAACAGAGTGAAAAGACAACCCACAATGTGGGAAAAAAAATTTTGCCAGCTGTTCCTCAGACAAAAGACTAATATCTAGAATAAAGAACTAAACAAAAAAAAAAAAAATCATATTCCCCAAAATTTAAAGACCCAGTCCAAAAATGGACAGCTGAGATAAATGACTCTTCTCAGCTGAAGAAGTAGAAACAGCAGATAAATATATGAAAAAGTGTTCAACATCACTGGTCATTCGAGAAATGCAAATGAAAACATTAATGAGATTCCATCTCATTCCGGAAAGAATGGCTGCTTTCAAGAAATCAACCAATAACAAATGCTGGCGGGGCTGTGGGGGAAAAGGACACTTCTCCACTGCTGATGGGAGTGTAGACTGGTGCAACCACAACCGCTATGGAAATCATCGTGGAGATTCCCCAGAACTAAAACTAGAGGTCCCGTTTGACCCAGCTATTCCCCTTCTGGGTATCTTCCTGAAAGAATTGAAAGCATCAAACCACAGCGATACATGCGCACCCATATTTATAGCAGCACAGTTTTTAATAGGCAAATCTTAGAAACGGCCCAAATGGATATCAGCTGATGAATGGATCAAGAAGCTGTGGTTTTTTTATACAGTGGAGTACTACCCTGCCATAAAAAAGGATAAGCTTGAGACATTTCTAGGTAAATGGGTGCACCTGGAGACCATACTCTTAAGTGAAATAAATCTGACACATGTGTAAATATTGCACTGTTTCTCTGGTGTGAGAAACCAAAAGCATAGATAAGGACCAAAATGTATAACAGATATTGGGAAATGCGAAGGAAATGTTCAAATGAGAAGGAGAACAAGGGAGGGGAAGAGGGAAAGGAAAGAAAAAAGAATAGAAGGACAAAGTGGAAAGAAAACTTTTCTAAATAAAGAGGTGAAGAAGGGCTGAAGGGAGAGCAGGGCACTGGGAAGAAAAGAAGCAGCAAGCTATGTCACATGCAGGTCCAAATCCCCTGTGATGAATGCTATCACTATGTAAATCTAAGATGTACCAATAACATTTTAAAACCACGAACAAAGCCAGGCGTGGTGGCGCATGCCTGTAATCCCAGCACTCAGGAGGCTGTGGCAGGAGGATCGTTGCGAGTTCGAGACCAGCCTGGGCTACAAAGTGAGCTCGAGGCCAGCCTGAACTGCACAGCAAGACCCTGTCTCAAAAAGACAAAAACAAACAAAAAAAACAAATAAAAACGTGAACAAAAATAATAATGAAACGAAGTCGTAACAATGGTCCTAATCCAATCTGCTTGGTGTCATGATAAAAACAGAGTAGGACACACACACGCACAGGTGACCAGCATCCACATCCAGGAACAGGCCTTGGGAGAAGCCGGCCTGCGGCAGACACCTTGGTCTCTGACTTCTGGTCTCCAGAAGCGAGAGACAGGGGGTGGGGGGGGTGGGGGGGGCTCTGCCTTCTCAGCCCTGCCCAGAGCACTGTCCCCAGCCAGAGCCGGCTGGCACAGAGACGCGGAGGCCTCCAGGGGCGCCTGGGCCCCAGGCAGCCCGCAGCGCTCACCTCCAGACAGATGACCGAGCCCTGGTGCTCGCGGAACACCCGCAGCTGCTCCCCGCTCAGGATGTCCCAGGCACGGATGGTGGCGTCGGTGCTGCCTGTGAAGGCTGTGCGGCCAGGACGGTCCAGCACCAGGCACAGCACGGCGCCCGTGTGCCCTCGCAGGGTCTGGTGGCAGCAGCCGCTGGCCACCTGCCACACCTTGGCCGTGCCGTCTGTGCTGCCGGTCACCAGGAGGCCCCCGGCCTCGGCCTCCTCCGCACAGGAAGGGTCCCAGGGGGCAGAGTAGGCCAAGGTCAGCACACAGTTGCGGTGGCCTCGAAACTCCCGGGACACCTGCTCCTGGTCCACAGCCCAGGCGCGAGCGGTGCGGTCATAGGAACCGCTGAAGAGCTGGTTGTTGGTAACCAGGATCCTGGAGTGAGAAGGGAAAGCACGGGGTCAGGGCACAGAGCATTCCACGGGCGCTGCAGCGGGACAGCCCCTGCTCTCTGGCCACCGCCACGCTCACCTTCCGGGGTCAAGGTCAAAATGTCCTCCTCCAGGAGGCTTCCCTGATGCCCTGCCAGGCACCCCTCCTTGACGGATCCTCTCCACATGCTGAGCCCCTGCTGGCCTAGCCCCTACTGCAGCGGGGACCAACACTGAGACCCAGCAGGGACCAAGGCCCAGACCCAGCAGGGACCAAGGCCCAGACCCAGCAGGGACCAAGGCCCAGACCCCACAGGGACCAAGGCCCAGACCCCACAGGGACCAAGGCCCAGACCCAGCAGGGACCAAGGCCCTGACTCCGCAGGGACCAAGGCCCAGACCCAGCACGGACCAAGGCCCTGACCCAGCAGGGTCAGAAAGAGGTTAATGTTCTCACCTGCCTGCTTGCCATGGACTGTTTCTCCCATGTGGGGCCCCGCTACTAAGCTGCCCTGCCTTGGAGCCAGCCAACTATGGACTGTGAGTCAAATAAACCTTTCCTCCTTTAACTTTGGGTGTCAGGTATTTTGTCTCAGCAACAAGAGAACTAACTAAGACAGAAATTTGGTGTCAGAAGTGGGACCTGACTGTACCTGACCATGTGGTTCAGGGGGAGCCTTTGGAACTGGCTTGTGGGAATAGTTTGGAAAAGTTTGGGGATTCTGGCTAAAAAAAGCAGTCCTGGAATGGCTGAACCTGTTCTCGGTAGGAGATTCTGGGCAGAGCTCAGGAGACCAGAAGGCTGACAGAAATCCTGCTGGTAAAGATCGGGCTCAGGAAAATTCTGCTGAGAAGGACTGCATTGGCTGTTGGACTCCAGACAATGTATATTATACCTTGGCAGAAACTTTGTCTGTATTTTGTTCAAGTCCAGAGATTTTGCCTGAGACTGAGATTAAGATGGCAGATTTAATTAATCTTGTAGAAGAAATTTCTTTCTCTCTCTCTCTCTCTCTCTTATTTTTTTTTTTTTCTCTCTTTCTTATTGAGACAGAGAGTTCAGGCTGTCCTTGAACTTACTTTGTAGCCCAGGCTGGCCTCGAACCTTGCAGCAATCCTCCTGCCTCAGCCTCCCAAGTGCTGGGATTACAGGTGTAAGCCACCACACCCGCACTGCAGAAGAAATTTGAAGGCAGTCTAAAGTTGAGGTGGTGGCATGGCTACTGTTGGGGGCTTTTAACCAGATTTATACTGCGAATCAAGAGCAAAGAGCCCAGCAGAATGATTCAAAACGTTATGAGTTTGGCCAGAAAGGAAGCTCCAGTAAAGTTGCAACCTGCAAAGATGGAACAGAGGAGAAACTGTTTGCTGAAAAGACTAGCAAGAAGAAGCCAAGTGTTTCGGAAGAAGACAACAGAAAAGATGGCCTGAGGGCATCACAAAGACCAGCAGGACTCCAGCTTCTGAGCCTCAGCTGAAAGGTGAAAGACCGCTTCGAGAAGAGAGCTTTGGCACACCAAGCTCCAGGGTGGCGGTGGACGAGAGAATCTGTTCCTTGGGACTGGACTCTGAGTGCTCAGTGACCCAGGCACTCGGCCCCCGGACCCGAGAGGGACGAAAGAGGCTGCTGTGCTCCTGCCTGCCATGGCCTGTTTCTCCTCTGCGATGCCCTCTGCCACGCTGCCCTGCCTCAGAGCAGCCGACGATGGACTGAAACCGCTACAGACCGTGAGCTGAATAAAGCTCTCCTCCTGCAACTTTGGGTGTCGGGTATTTCAGGTCAGCAACCAGAAAAGTAAGTACGACAAGGGGAGAACAGGACAGAAGGGACAGGTGGGGCAGCCAGCCCTTCCGGTCTGCCCAGGTTTCTGGGAATACAGGGCTTTCCACTGGAAATCGGGAAATTCCAGGGCTAAGTGGGACCAGCTGGCCACTGTGGGAAAAGCTTGGACCCACCGGCTGGCAGAGGCATTTCCGGGGGTGCGGTGAGGAGTTCCAGAGCCCTCCCGCCTCACTGGCTCCAATGTGTCCCCCAGGGGACAGGAGGCAAACCTGGGGGGGGGGACTCTACTATCGACTCCCACGGCAACCCCCACATGGATGACACGGCAGCTCCAGGTCACAACCCCAGTGGGAACCCAGACTGGGACCCGCCGGGGCCAGGGAACGGCTGGGTGGGAGGCCAGGAGGGTCCCTTGATTTTGTGGAGCTGGCTGACCTCAGGCCCAGGCCTTCTGGGCAGGAAATATTCATGACTTCTCATTTTACTGAACTCTGTGAACTTCTCCCCAGGAAAACAGCAAGCATATTCAACTTTAGCACAGAACTTCAAAGGCTGTTCATGCTCTCCTTAGGCCCCACACCCCAGGGAGGAGGCTGCTCCGGGCCCTGCAGGCCGCAGCTGCAACGGGGTGCACCCCTACCAGTGCGGGGCAAGGACTGGCCCAGGCGGGGACCCTCCTCACCAGCCCTCACGGCCTCCGCTCCTCCCAGGAGGCCTTGAGCCTGGACTCCCCTGACTGGCTTCTTCCCTGGGGCATGCAGGAGATGCAGGGCAGTTCCGGGGTGGAACCCAGCGCCTGCGCGTGCTGAGCAAGCTCCCTACCTTGGAACCACACACAGCCCCACGTGTGCTGCAACATGGGGTGATGGTCTGGGGAGGCCCTGGGGAGTGGGGGTGGTGGCGGAGTCCTCTCAACCTGTGACACTGGGTGCCAGGCTACTGAAGGATCAGTGTCCCCCAAGCTCAAACGCCTGGCCATCTCGGGGACGGGAGGGAGTGGGCTCTGGCTCCCAGCGCTTAGGGCTCAGGTATTTCATCGTGTGTGTGTGTACCCGGAGCTGTGGGCTGTGGCTGCCATGGACGGAAGTGTGTGTGTGTGTGTGTGTGTGTGTGTGTGTGTGCACGTGTGCATTTGTATAGGTGTACGTGAGTGCACCAGGCGGAGACTATGTGTTCACGTGTGTGTGTTGTATGTTGTACGTATAGGTAACATGTGCTGTGCACTTGTGAGTACATTTCTCTCCTGTTTGTGTGCAAAGGTACATGCACACACGTATAAGGTATGTGTGTGTGTGTCTGTGTGCATGCATGCATGCGCCTTACACACTAAACCTGGTAAAGTCAAATTTCTACCTTGAATCACCCATTTCTAATTCTGAGAAGCAGGTGATAGTACTCCAGGCTGGCCTGGAACTCCCAGCAATCCTCCTGCCTCAGCCTCCCCAGTGCCAGGATTACAGGTGTGTGCCACCACGCCCGGTCTGTTCCTGTTGCCCACGAGCGTGCTCAGAGCCCCCACAGCAGCCAGGGAAGCCCGGCTTTGGCACACCCTCTTCTCCGTGCCTGCTCAGCCCAGCCCTGGGCACCCTCCCAGGCAGGACCTTTCTACCAGTGTGGCTTTGAGGGCCACTGAGCGAGAGCTCCCTGCCCTGCACATCCCCTCGGGGCCTGGGGAGACCATCGAAGGTCATGCAGGGTGCCTCAGTGATCTGGTCAGCAGAGGCATTTCCAAGTCTCGGCTCCCCCCCAAATTCAACAAGGAAGGGAAAATCTACACCTGCGGAAGGCGGGGTAGGGTGCTTCCAACAGCTGCGGGGAAAGGGAGGCTTAAAAACACGCTCGACTGCATCTCCAGGACAGTCTCCTCCTCTGGACCCTCGGTTTACTCTCGAGCACCAATCTGCAGCCCCCCGGGAACCTGTCCCCATCAGCAGGCGTGGTGTCAGGCTCTGCACAGCAGTACCACCCGATTCCCACACCTCCTCCCACACCACACGCAGCCCCAGGCACCGAGCACGTGGTTGGGCCCCGGACACCTCTGTCCTGGGTCTCGGGTCGCTGCGTGCTACTTCCCACTGTTCCCCAGGGGACCCGCCGTTCTGGCCTCTGTCCGCCTCTGGCTGAGGCCTAGTCCCCCCCACCCTGCCAGGCCAACCTGTTGACAATGGACGTGTGTCCCCGGTACACCTGCACACACTGGCCCGTCCGCACGTCCCACCTCCGGATGGTGCAGTCCGCGCTGCAGGTGAAGGCCGCCTCATCCTCCAGCTGGCAGAAGGTCACGTAGCTCTCGTGTCCTGCGGGCGGGGGGACATGTGAGTGACCCCTGGGAGCGATGTAGCTCCTGCTTCCTTCTGGGAAGATTTGGAAGGAGAGCAGCGAGAGGGGCTGGGTGTGCAGGACGGGTGGCCCTCAGCAGTTGGCAGTGTTGGGCTAGGGTGCTCACCTGTCCTCCTGAACCCATCGGCTCCCTGTCCCCCACGCTCTCCTTTCTTCTCCCCCTCTTTCACCTTCTCCTTTTTCTTCCTCTTTGTTTGTTGTTTTGAGGCAGGGTCTCACTAAGTAGTCCACGTGGCCTTTAACTTACTATGTGGCTGAGCTTGTTCTCACAGTGATCCTCCTGCCTCAGCCTCCTGAGGGCTGAGATTACAGGTGTGTGCCACTATTCCTGTTTGTTTGTTTGTTTTTGTCTTTTTGAGACAGGGTCTCGATATGAAGTTCAGGCTGGCCTGAAGCTCACTTTGTAGCCCAGGCTGGTCTCGAACTCGCAACGATCCTCCTGCCTCAGCCTCCCAAGTGCTGGGATTACAGGCGTGCACCACCACACCCAGCTGTGCCACTATTCCTGGATCCTCCTCTCAGTTTTCCACAAACTTTGAGCTGTTTGAGCTCAGCAAACCCACATTATGGAGGCGGTGGAGTGGTGGCTGGGCGAGATCTTGGTGCTGGTACTGCCTGTCCTGGGTTTATTCTGCCACCTCTCCCCATGCTGCTGGTCCCTCACTTGAAATGGGAACAGGGACAATTCCCATGGCACAGGTCATCGTGCAGATGGAGTCACAGTGGCAACCACCTGCTGGATGCTGTGTCTTGGCAACTTTTCTCTCACGCAGAGACACAGCGGTGGGCAGAACAGCCGCTGTCAGGACCTGCGAGGTTACGGGACTGTCAGCGTCACCTTCCTCGAAAAGGGCGTGCCGGGTATGACTGAGTGGAGGGTGCTGATGGGGGAAGATGAGCCCGGATCTCCCCGGTGGGCTCTAAACGCAACTGCAAGGAGAAGCCCACCTGCAGCGGCCACAAGCCAACAGGCGCTGGCGGCCACCAAACAGATCGTCCCCTCCAGGTGTCGGAGAGGGGCCTGCCCACACCTCAGTCTGCCCAGGGACACTGACCGTGGCTCCAGCACCTGGAGAGAACCCAGGGCAGAGGCTTCCCGGTACCAAGTACTCCCATGATAGGGACGGGACAGAGGGGACCACGAGGACGTCTCTCACCTTCCAAGGACCCAGTCCAGCCAGAAAGAGGCAGCAGGAGGGGCCTGTGGTCACCTGGCCTGGCACCTTCAGGGGACACCGAGGACACTGAGTTGGGGGACTGCACATTGCGGACATGGGGAGCCTCGGGCCACGTGGTTGGGACTCCGCGGGAATGAGGTCAGGGCCGGAGTGCGAGGGCCACGCAGGGTCAGGGTCGCGGTCAGGGCCGGTGCACCGGCCTGGCATCCAGCTGGCCCTGCCCGCCATCCACCCTCCAGGGCAGCTGCTGTATCTTTTGCTAATCTCCGGGGCACTGGGGATCAGTGTTTGCCTGGGATGTGATCAGATCAGGCAGCCCTGGAAGCCCTCAGGGTCTCCGATCTGGTTGGGCTGAGCTCCAGGCAAAGATGTCGCACCCGGGACAAAAACTTCTGACACAGAGTACATCTTCGAGAAATTCAGAGACCAGAAAGCCGAAAGAATCAAAGGAATCTTGGAACTATGTTTTTTTGTTTTGTTTTGTTTTTTGTTTTTTTGGTTTTTTCTCTTGTACTGGGAACTGAACTCACAACCTTGCGCTTGCCAGGCAGGCGCTTTGCCACTGAGCTAAATCCCCACCACGGAACTATGTTTACAGAAGACGAAACTGTTGGATTTGAACACTCATGTAACTGGTGGGCTGTATTACTGTGTTAAGGATATTGTTTTAAAGACTTTTTGATCTTAAATTAAACCAAGAAAAGCACTTAAAAGCAATAGCACCTCACTCAAGGGAACCGTGGCCACAAAACCAGGGCTGCTGAAGGTCAGAGATGTGGGGGCTTTAATCTGATTTTAAATCTTAGCCGGGAGTCATGGCGATACCTGTAATCCCAGCACTCTTGAGAGGCTGAGGCAGGAGGATCGAAAGTTCCGGCCCAGACTTGGTAACTTAGTAGGACTCTGTGTCAAAACAAAAAAGTTACCAAAAAAGGGCTAGAGATGTAGCTCAGTACAAAATCACCATCGTCATCTCGCTTAGACGGCTAGTGTCAGGTGAACAAGGACTTCAGAATCTCCTACGTTCTGTGAAACGGATGCATCTTTTATTTTTGTTCTGGGCATTACCTTAGTCAACTTTTGGATGAACTTGGTATCTTGGGTTCTCAAACCCCCAATTTAAAAAAAAAAAAGAAAAGAAAAGAGAGAAGAGTTTTTGTCTTTTTAGAGAGTACACACCAGGCTGTTCTGAAAACAATGTAGGGGGCTGGGGATTTAGCT